CCTCTTGGGACTTTGGGCCACAGGTACACACACACACACACACACACACACACCTACGCCTGCCAGTCCAGGACTTGAATTGCTGAGTTGGCCATGTGGGACCCAGCACCTTAACCACTATGCCACCCACTGATTCCCTCTAGCAAATAAAAAACTAAACTCACCTTTTCTCAAACTGTGTAGTAAAAATGAATAACAAAGAGTTGATGAAAGTCTGCATGGGATACAGAAAGAATTCAGTTTAATTCATTACATAATAACTTGTCTAATTAACTTAAACAAGGGAGGCCTTTCCATACGTTTATTGGATAAAGGAAAGAAAGATGTATAGAAAAATATCTGAGGAAGGAACGACAGAAAATGTTTGAGAGTTGAGGTGAGAAGTAGAGGGGCCGTCCCTGTAGTGCAGTGGGTAAGGGAGCCAGATCTCACATGGCTGACACGGGGGTTCCAATTCCAGCCGGAGGTGGTTTCAGAATGACACCAGATGCGTGTGTGCAGGACCCAAATCCTGATGGGTGATTTCACTCGCTCTGGCCAGCGCCCATGCCCTTTAACATGAAAAGAAAAACGGAGAGAGGAAAAGAAACAAGTAAACGCAGGGCGGAGCCGCAGAGGGGTATGAGGAGGTCACAGGAGAGGTCAACCTGGGGCAAGTGGGCACAAAGCTGGGCTGGGGGAGGCAGCAGTGTAGACAGAGAGAAAAGACTCATGCCTGATGCTGGGCCGCAAGGGGTGGAGGTCAGAACAGAGGTGCAGGGAACTAGGCACTGGCAACAGGAAAAGGTGGGAAGGGGGACGTTACCCACAAGGGAGAAAAGAGTGGATGCCTAAGAGATGGTGAGGGGAGCATGGCCAATAGCTTGGGAGGAAAGAAGGAATGAGAGGGTGACTGGGACGCCTGAGGGCCAAATCAAAGGCCACCTTGGAGAGCCAGTCAGGGAGGACAGGCGAGTGCACCGTGCACCCGGATCAGGCTGGGCTAGGCTGGAGTGGGGAAAAGAGAAATGCGTGTGCCCTGGGGACAGGGGTGAAGGTGGGAGGTAGGTTTGAGAAGGGAAGGGAATGATGGGTGTGGCCAAGAATGAGACCTAGGCCTTACCCGCCCCCACCCTCTGCTGGCTGCTGACTGCCTGGTTTCCTCCCAAAGCTCTAAGTTACCTTGATGTTGGGGGAGACAGCGACAGGTGGGAGAGGCCCTGTGAAGGGCTGGGGCATTAAGTCAGGGTGGGGGCCAGGAAGGTAGAGCCTCGGCCGGGTCATGCCCAGGAGCCAGGTGTGTGTCGGAGGGCGGAACCCGAGGGCCTGGACAGTGAATGGGTGGAGGTACTGGGGAGGGGGTCCAGAAGCAGAAACCGCAAAAAGGCTGCTAAAGGGGCTTGAACCTCAGGGATTGGGCCAGGGTCCCTGGAAGTGGGATCGCTAGGCTAGGAGACAAAAGAAAAAGAGCAGAAGGTGGTGGTGAGAGCAGAGCCCGACAACGCGCTCAGGGCAGAAAAGAACGGGAACAAGGCGGCGCCGAAGCTGGTGAGGGCGCCTCCAGCTCTGGCTCCGCAGCGTCCCAAGTGCACCTGCTGGGGAGAGGCAAGGGGCACGCTGGTGCGGGACGAAAGGCGGGTCCCGAGGGGCTGACTCGAATTTGGGATTACCGAAAAGCCACGGCCTGCTCCTCACCGGCGGTCAAAGCCCGGCAAGGAAAGGGGCGTGACCCTGGCGCTCAGGTTTCTTCCTCATCACCTGGGCAAGGAGGGGGTTGGGGCCAGGACTTCCGGTTCAGGTGAGTGTCCCTTCGGTGACGTCAGGTCACCCTCGGCCGCCCCTCTGGTCCCGCTCCCCCTCCCGCGTTCCCAGTGTCTGCAGGGACGCGCCCCCGACGCCCTACATATACTCAGGTACGCCGCACCTGTCCGCGCACCTGCCGGA